TAAAGATACGGCGGCAACGCGCCCGTTGCGTCACACTCGCATATATCATATCAGACATAAAAAAAACTGACAACCATCTTACACTCTTTAATCACACGTATACATACATAATGTCGCATATTCAAAATCGCGTGTCGCCTTTTTAACATAATCACTCTTCTTTGACGACCGATATTTGCACAGCTTATGTTCGCTTGCGTTTATAAAGATAAAACACATATACGTTGAAAAGTTTGAGATATAGATAAAATGCTGTTAATTGTAACTACCGAGTACACTTAACTTTTAGTGCACACGATGGGTCGTTTGTGTCCTAGTTTAATTTTCATCACTTTAAATATACAAAATATGTATAAACAAAATACTTAAATATTTAAATATATTTCAAACAAAATATTTATATATAAATATTTATATATAATAGATATAAAATAAAATATCAAGTGATTTTTACATATTCTTTAGAAGGTATACATTTTTATATAGAAAATATTTATAAGGCTTTATATAATATATGTATACACACACACACACACACACACATACATATATATATAATTGTACATAAATGTTGTATAATTACTTGATACTCCTAGTTTCTTAAAGAAAAGGAATGTGCAGAACACGAATGACCCAACCGCGATTGAATCTTCAACTTTTCGCAAAAATCACGCATCGTAATTAATTGCGCTGACATTTACATATATGGCCCAGTTCTCGTCGTCTTATACTTTACAGGATGTAGAATATACGATTAAAGTTTTAGTACAGATATGACATTGGACATAGAACATGATAAAAATTTCAGTAGAGATTTCATGTAGGGCAGATTCCTTTATAAATATATAGTCATATCCGTAAACCGGATATATCGAACGAGTCGTGACCAGTTGACCCTAAGCATCGTTTTGTACTTATACGTATCTTGTGAAAGGAGGTATTCAGGTGGTTATCGATTTAACTTGCGATCGTTAATACGTAACGTTCTTACATCTTTCGCAGTCTTAATGGACTCTGCGGAGTGAATTTTTCTTTCCATTCTACGTTTTATTTCATGTGTTTTTAGTCTATCGGATAATAAATTAAAATGATAAATGCCGGAAAAGCTATGTCCGCCCCGAAGAACTTCGCTCTCTTTTGCATCGTGCCGCAACACTTATCGTTTATTTATACGTAGGATTGAATGAGAGAAAACTTTTCCGACAATGATAGAACTAATGATGATAATAACTGATGCGTGTGCTTTCTGGAATTCTGATGTATTTGGAGGCAATGTATAACGTGAGAGAGATTCTAAAAATAAAGTTCTGGTTGAATGCGAGGTGACTAGTGTGCAGTACCTATAGAGGTATACATGTACCTAGCTAGGAACTTATACCCAGATACAATTTCTTTAGCTTGTTCTTTTTAGCTGGACTTCTGACAGCTCGAGTTTATGCTTCTGGTCTTAATCTTAAAATCCTAAAATTTAGTCAATAAGGCTATTCAGTCTTAACCGAAATCTATATTTCATTGGCTGAATTTTATAAATCGGACAACACGGTTCATCTTTCTTCCTTTTCTCTTCATGTAGGAGAAAAAAAGAAGAAAAGATAAATCGTGCAAGAAAAGCTAAAAAAATAGGTTTCTTATGTATCGGTACCTATATTTAGATTTTAGTTACTTTAGGGTTGATACTTTCCTGCACTAAATGCACATTCAACAGGAGTTCGGTAAAAGCGTGTTCAAATATAATACACCTTTATTAGACTCCGCGCCTGTTGAGCGTGCATTTAGTGCAGGCTAACAAATTATAATGCCGCGACGAAATCATTTGTCCGATGACAATTTTGGATGTTTGATGATTTTGAAACAAAATACATAAATGAATTATTTAAATAAAAACTAATAGCTTTATAAGGATTACTCCATTTTAATGTGTAACATGTTGAGCTTATTGCGTAGAATATTTATGTGTGTATATTATTAAATACGTGTAATACATAAAATATTATACATATATGGATGAAATCATAAATATCTATTTATTCTAAATGTTTATGTCAGTGAATAAAAGTACCTAGATACATTTAAGGTATCTGTATACCTTGTAGGTATTTTATTTTTCTAATATCTGTACGTGCACCTCGGTACATAATTTCCAGAGTATTTGTATCTGTACTTTATAGGTATTAAAAAAAAGTATCTTGCACATCATTGAAGGTAACGTTATATTCATGATACAAGGTATACTTCGATTATTATCTGAATAACCTTTATTATGCGTAATAATACCTATAATTTTCTTTGAGAATAAGTATTTTATCGATTCGACGTACCCTGCGTTGCTATATGACTTGTCATTTTACGCAGCAATAGATTATATTGTCGTTATTCTCCATCGATTTCAGCTTTCCCGCGGCGAATAGTAAAACCGCTGTCGTCCGGTGACATGCAAGAGTATGTAAGCCGATCGCTTGAATATTTGTACACGTCGTGAATAAAGCCTCATTGTCAACTACAGAAACCATCCTGCGCATCAGTGGGACACTGTCAACTCTGTCGATCGATATCGACGTAATCGCGTATACAATAATCGTTACCATTTACCTTCGATAGATTTCATGATGAGATTCCTCTGTTATATTTCCCAGAAATTGCTGGTGAAATATAGTAGCTGCTCTTTCTTCGAGATAAAACTCGATAAGAAAAAAATAACAATTTTTTGCCGTTGATCTTTAAAACTGTGACTGTTTTCATCCTTTCATCTGCACCCCCACAGTCCTCATTTTATAAAAATGTTTATTTTGATAATTTTTATCTTAGATCTCTTTACATTAATTAATAAAAAATATTTTGTATTTGTGTTAGAAAATGTTCATTCAAATCCTTGTTAAAATTTTTAATATATTCGAGTATTTTAATGTAACACAATATATATATGATCGTGTTATTTAAATATTTTGTGTTAAATTGATATTTAATTCTTAGTGTTAAAATAACATTATTTATGAGTAATAAATAACATAAAAATGTTTTTTAAAATAAATTTTAAGATAAATAAAATACATTAAAAGAAAGAAAGTGTTTAATTATTTGTGATTGCATAGTCAAAAGATAAATAAGTAGTTATAATTAGAAGCTCTAAATTTTTATAATAATTACACTTACATTATTGCTATAATATTAATAATAATGATTCTATATGATTTTATATAAAAAGTATATTGTTAGCTCCGAACCATAATTATATATATTTTACCATACAATTATAATCGCAAATTCCAACACTGTTGTTAAACTCGCGATGAAATAAAATTGTTTTAATGGTTGGATCATTGTCAATTCTTGTCTCCATCGTTGATCTTCGTTCTCGAGTAACGTTGCTATTCTTAACTGTTAAGTATTATAATGAAAATGGACCATGAGTGCGCGCGCTACAAATTATCGAGACGTTTTCTCCGGTTATTTGCGGAACAGGTAGGTGATCTCGAGTAGAAACGACGGGTACATAATGAGGGAAATGCATAAGTTAATCTCTCTCGGTTATAAACTAGACATCCCATTGACTCTTCTTAATAACGCTTTCTATGCTTTTATATGTGTCGATTTATTTTTAAACGTAAATAATAATTTGATTTTTTATCATATTTCTATATGTTTTATACATTTATTATATTATTATTTGTGCAGTTATTATTTATTATATTGTATTTATAATGTTATTTCTAGCAACTTTTTATTTATTCAATTTAAATGAGTGAAATAGTCCATATATTTTTATCAAGTCGGGTTCTGATGTCTAATAATATTTTTGTACGAATTTTTACAATTTTCCGTTCAAGCTTTTTCATTTATTGTCCTCCATTTTTACATCTTTATATATATATATATATTTTTTTTGTCGTTAAGCCTATTTGAGCAACCAGGCCATTTTTAACGGCTGATCAGCAGGAAGGTTTGCTGATTCATGTCACGGTAATTATACCGGGTGAACTGGTTAAGCGTTAGAGAGTAGGAAACATGACGCCAGTAAAGACCACTAATTAGAACGAAGGTCATGACTTTTACTTTTTAACGACATGACCATCGCTTATCTTCAAGATCTCATGCTAACGATGGAAAACACAAGCGATCGAGAGATAAATATATCAATTAGTGGACATTGTTCAATTATTGCACGAAATGACAAAAATGTTAAGCTTTTAAAATATTAAGCTGTTAATGATATACACATGATTCAAAGAAATTCGCCTTATTAAATTTGTACACACAATGAATTTGTATATTGATAGATATAAGATAACAGAATTATACATGTCATTAAAGGTCTAATGTTTAAAATTTTTGTCATTGTGTTCAATAATTAGGTCATTTTCATTAACTGTCCACTAACTGGTGCACTTACTTTACATTCTACACAATTCATGGATTGCCGTAAAAACGTTTACATTGATTACCTATAGAAGAGATAACATTTGTAATACTTTACATTCATAAGTCGCAAAGTCATCAAAAGAAGTTGTATACTTCGTTTATCTTATCGACCTTTTATACGTACCGTGCAATTAACTAATACGCAGAAAACTTATGGCATACGTAGTTTGCTTATCTTTTCCGTACTCATGTAATTTTGAAAGTGAAATGCAATATATATTTAATAAATATTTAAACTATATAATATATATATATATATGCATTTAATTATATTAAAGATATAGTAATCTGTAGATTTGTTTTTTAATATTTTGAAATACAGGAAATTCTGCAAGAGAGGAATTATCTACTCGTCAGGAAAAATTAGTCGTCATCGGGTAATGATAAGTGTTCTTGTGTAATAAAATCTCACTGGTTATAATCGTGACTAATGTTAAAATAATCGCTGCAATTGAAGATTATTTCAGAAAAATAATGACAATAACAGATGCGTTATTTCTATTCTTTTGTAATTTTATGTGTATTTATGTACATGTAAAATGTTACATAACATTTTTACGACAAAATAATCATCTTCTTTGCAGTAGCCAAACGAGCAAGAAAATTGCGTTTAAGCAGATATCGAATATACGAAAAGGAAAAATGCAGAACGTATTTGAGGTCGACGATAACGATGTCATTTATAAAGATGTTGTCATCATAGGTGAGTATACAAAATGTCTTGAGAAAATTTAATAACTCGGTTGAAAGATCTACAAAATTGAGCAACACGTTGTGGATAGTAAGAAATATATTTTCCTGTAATAACGCATCTTATATCAAACTCAATTTGTTTTATATTAAAAATGAGAAAATTTTACTTTTATTTTAAAAGTGAATTCTCAGTTCTCCAAATCAAATTTTATAAATGTGCATATGTATGGTTATTTAATACTTGTTGTATGGCGCGTGTAAAAACCAATGAACTTCTTATCGTGTTAACAATTTTAGTACTAACGTCACGTTCAGCAATTTAGTATTAATTTCCTACGCGACCTACGAAACTAAAATTTTTATTTTAAGAGTGTGTTAAATAAAAAACTTGTGAGAAGGTTAACAAAAATGTCTTTGAATCAACAGTCATAATTCAGCTCATTTGTCAAAATATTAAAGATTATTATGTAAAGATCTGCACAATTTTTGATCCTCAGGAAATGGGCCCAGCGGGATATGTCTATCGTACATGCTCGCCGGAAACTGGCCTTACTATACCGGCGAGCCTCATCCGGGCGATGATATGCTGACAGCGCGACTGCGGTTCTGCACAATCGGCAACGAGGAGTGCGGTGACACGCTAAACGATACGAACAGTGATGTAACCACCAACAGTCGTCGTCAGTGCTCCAAGTCTAGTGTCAGCAAAACGCAAGGAGGCGGATTAGCGCGCAGTACACGCTGCAAACTCGAATGTCTATCCTCTGGCATCGAGGGTAGAGGCGGCGGTCGACCGCTGGCTCTTCTCATGGATCAACTGCAACATCCGTGCGTCGACGCCGGATTCGATGTGGCTTCGCTGCTCAATTGGATTTCCGCTGACGAGCATCCCGAACACAGAATCGTAGACCACGTTGTCCTTGGCAAAGGCCAACCGGGCGGTGCTTGGCAAGTACGTGACACAATTTTCTCACTTCTCTGTGTGATCCTGAAAATAATGGACTCTTTTCCATAAAGTATAAAACGATGAATAAAAAATGATGAAAGAAAGCGTCTTGATAAATTAACATATCTAATATTTCAATTATTGATAAATTAAAAATTTTATGTTGCGAATTGATAAGGCTTATTATAAGTATTACTTAACGCAACACATTTATCTACACTATGAAAAGTTCTTTCTGTATTGTTTAGTTTAACGCTTTTTTTAATACGATTATCTCTAGTCTATGGACCCCAATGTACTAACTATCAGTTTGAGCCGATGGATGTCACTTCCTGACTTGGATTTAAGGCACTGGGAGAAACTCGTCGAAGTCGAACAGTTACAAAAGTCAGTTTTAGCCGCAGAAAGCGATGTGTATGCGCGGTTAGAAAAACTGAATGTTTGTAAGGCGTCTAGTCGAGTTTCTATGGGTACTGTGGCAGCTTATTACAAGGACTACGTGCGCAGGAAAGGCTTGAAACAATACTTCCGATGGTATATATATTTGAAATATTTGACACAAAGCCGTTATTGACATCAATGCAGACTTTCACGAAACAATTTATTGCAGTGGGACCACAGTTACTTCAGTAAGACCGAATTCGGACTCGCCTGAGAGCAAAGGAGAATATAATTGGATTGTAGACGGTTACGAGAATAAAAATGGAAAACGATTTCGGTATCGATGTAAAAGGGCGGTTCTTGCAACTGGTACGACTGATTTATCGAATCATCTTGGCATCCTAGGGGAGAACACGAATCGCAAATGGGTGACACACGATCTTAACGATCTCGAGACTCGTTTAGGATGTTTGGTCAGCGAGCACGGTACGCAAACGGAAACTTATATAAAGAAATAGAGATAATTGCATAATTTGGTAGTTTCTGGAAAAAAGTTGTCTTCTTTTTCATACATTCGTTTATTATGTAATTCGTTCTTGATTTGATCTCATTTGTTAACCATAGGCAAAGATTCGACCGATAAACAGATTCCACCCGTATTAGTAATTGGAGCAGGTCTAAGCGCAGCCGACGCGATTATGGCTGCACGCTTTCGAGGCATACCTGTGTTGCACGCATTCCGCAACTCGTTAAATGAGTGGGGCAAACAGACCGCCGAGAGAATAACTACCAGTTACGATCGACTGCAATGGCTACCGGATTCCATATATCCGGAGTATCATAAGGTGTACGAGATGATGGCTGACGGAGGTACAAATTATCCTTTGTACAAGTCTTTGCCAGGATATACACTCGTCAATCTCTCTGAAAATCACGAGCATGGAAACATAAGTGCGAAGAGGACAGTCACTCTTTCTGCTCCAAACGGTCAGCTGCACACGTTTCAAGTATCTATTGCAGCTATTCTTATCGGTAAATATCATATGTACTTCTCAATATTATAATTCAAACTAATAAAACTTATAGATTGAGCATGATAATAGATATTGGCTTTAGTATTGAGTTCGTAAATTTTGTAAATTCGTCGATGTTATTATATTTAATAATTTATTTCAGGATACAAACCAGACTTGTCATACTTAGAAGATAGCGGTATAGGATTGGGTAAATTCACAGATAAGCCGATCGATAGCAAATCAAATCCAATTGAAATCGATGATTTTACATACGAGGTGATTAATGTACCGATAAAAGGACTTTATGCATTAGGACCTCTAGTCGGTAACAACTTTGTTCGCTTTGTTTTGGGCGGTGCGCTTGGAATTTTGGCGCATATTCTGTGCACCACAAACACCTGAGAAATCTGACAGCGACTCGATCGTACCTTAGTAAAATTATTTTATATATAGACACATTAACAATGCCATCGTGTGACTTCTGCTCAATTCGTAGGGTAACTATCGCTTAGTTCTTAACATTTATACCAAGAGATTGCTGGGTAAATGTCTTTGTACATACTATTAAAATTATTTTTATATTCTTTCTATATTATACCCTTCGCGAGGAAATGACCGATTTTTAAATGTAATAACTAATTGTTTCATCGAGATATCTCTTAGGGTACGTTTTATTTAACGTTTGCGACGCTCATTTTATTCATATCAACAAATGTTAAGGATAAAATAACGCACGCGAGCGTTGCAAAAGTTAAGGACGAAACGTATTCTTAATGAAAGTTATAGGGCGAAAACATCATTACAACATTTACTCAGCGAGTAGTGACAATGTGCGGAAAAAGATGAGTTTAAATGCCATTTTAGATCTGTTCGCACTTATTAACATTCCATTTGATAAGGGAATTATGTATGTGAGAGATGCTATCAATAATATTTGCATCTAAGTTTAATAATTTGTTTTTAGGTACAGGTGTAGTACATTATTGACAAATTTTTCATGATTATACATTACAGATCTCTCCACAAATATACTCTTATTAGATTCTACACCTCGTAAAGTGTATATACAGTTAATATAACTGTTGGAGTCTGTATTGTAACGAGTTTCGTAAAGAATAACGAGTATTACAACGAAACTCCCGATATAAATTCTGATGCTATATATGTACTTAGACTTAATCTGTGTTTGCCTTTCTTATAATTAAGTTAAATGCTTTTTTATGCATATTTATAGATATATGTATATATAGGAATGCTTTTAATGATTTTTATTTTTATGAGAGGTTAGAATATTTATAGTTCTTATAGCGTTTTTCACTGCGAACTCAGTGTACTTTAATGCCGTTGTACACAAATCGACATAGAAGTATATGTTTAATAAAAATTAAAAAATGAGTAAAACCATAAATTCTTCAATATATTTTATTGTGTTATTTGACAAAATACACAATAGGCATTTTATTAATTGAGATATCTCACTGTTAGAGTAGTGTATAACGACTTTAATGTGCACTGAGTACATATTAGCCTTGCCAGTGAAAAACGCTATTGGAATGGTCCGAGAATTGTGCTTATTGAAACGCACAAGCATTTTTACATTGCGTATTTTTGTTTCCTGGCAATTTGCAAATGAAAACACATCACGAAATAAGATTATCACATATTAAGTTTTACATAACATCTTTAATCCGCCGTGTAATATGCCTTTACATCTCTTATTAATAAGCTGTGATTACTTTAGTGAAATAGGCTAGTAACGCTCTGTTATTAGTATAATCTATATGTACATATAATACACTACCTTCTTTAGTACAAAATATTTCCACAAAACTTACTTTTTATTACTTAATAGTTTTTATTTACATTTAATTTATAAACCACGCGCCTTATTTATATTTTGTTTAATTTTATTTATGTCTAATTATATACAATCACACATTAATTAAGATTTACATATTAAAATTAAGTTAATTAGTTTCTTCAACTTAAAGCTGGATTAAAAAAAGAGAAATGTGGTACTTGTCCCATAATTTTATTATATTTTAAATACAAATTTTTATATTACTCTTTGATAACGTATTATGCAATGATAACGAAAATGCAAGAAATATTCTTTTTTATTATATTAAATGTATGTAAACTTATATGTTATAATACGTGCTGTAATAGTAAGCCTAAAATGTATTTAATATATAATATAATGTTACGAATTTGATATTAGCAGTGAAGCGAATTGCTGTAGCGTATACATATAAGAGGTAAAGCGAACATTAAAACGTATCGTTTATAGTATAGTAACATGGTTTTTAGAAGTTTTATTGATATGAAAGTTAATATATTGATATTAACTACGATGACAGGGATACGTATGGACTATGGATAGAAAAATACTTAATACGCAATCTGTGATAGGAAATGCAATGTTCAAGAAGATGCAATGAAATAGAAGAGACTACGTAAATAAATCTTGAGCACATTATATTTGGTAGATACGTATTTTTACATACAGAATGAAAATTATATCAGAAGTTATAAATTTATGTTTTTATTTAAACCGAAAGTAGAGAGAAAAAATCGTCACCTGTCTCTCAAAGATATAACAGCGAACAGTCTCATCTGCCACAAAAAGTGCTCTCCCAGTTAATTTTAAAGTGTCAGAACATCTTATTGTTATCTTTTGTGCTTTCTGTAAAAAAACAATTTGTAATATCTTATACATATAGACCATACTGTGTATGTATACACAAGAAAATTCAAAAGACTCAACTTCAGTTATTATTTTATTATGGAATGATCATTTAACAATTGGATGTATAGAACAGTTTACAATACAGATATAAAAAAATCAAACTGCATAGTTTTTCATTTTTATCATTACAATAATAAACATAAATAAACAAACAACATAATTTATCGCTATAAAAAATATACAATTAAATGTGATATATATATATATATATAATTCTACCGTAAATCTGTTATTTGCAGTCATTCTTAATTATATATAAGAATTAAAATACAGCGATATCATTTAAAATCGCAATTATGAGGATTACGTGACATTATGAGAAATTATTTTTAGAATTTCTACAGAGCAAGATTAACATTGATTAAAAACGTTAATGCCACATTCATAGTTATTATTTCCATCATATTGTATATAATCCATGAACAGATGGACCGAAAGACATTTTGTCATAATCCGACAAATATATTGTTTTTTCCTGACAATAACACTTGAGGAAAATTTACACAGATTATTTTAAAAAATAACTTTCCTTCATTATATACAGTTCTATAAAGACGTTTCATTTCATGGAACACGATAAATACCAACAAGTATATTTTCACGTTAATTTTATTTTAATTATAGTTGATTCTACGTCTTAAATATGACGAACAAGAAGCTAAGTAGTATAATAGCAGCCGCGAGAATCACGATACAATATAGTTTTTTATTAGCCTTCTGATATGAGTCAGCTTTCTTCAATTGTTTATAACCTTCTTGTACTTGTACTTGCGTTTGCTCTATATTGTAATCGATTCGATCTAAAATAGTACCCTGATCCTGTACCATTACTGCAAGATCCTGTACATAACAAAATTCCAGATTTTTATTTAATACTTTATCATGCTATTCGTGCACATTATCATGCACTAATATCAAAATAAATATCAAAACAATTTGAATTTACTAAATCGAAGAGTTTTACTTGCTATATTGTAGTTATTACATCATGAGAGTATTCATAATAATTTTTGTATACATATAATTTACCTTAAAAATATGTTTTAAATCTGCTATACTTTGAACTATACTTCCAATCTGGTCCTCTCTTTCCATTGCTAATTTCATTCTATCTTCCGGCTCCTCCAACTGCAATAAAACCGAATCCTGTCTTTGCTCATTTTTTTGCCAATTATTACCAGCTGCCTCGTTCAATTCTGTCACCCAAGAATCGGTTGCTATACTATTTAAAAGAGATTGATCTTCTGCGAAGAATTGATTATTCCTCTCTTCTCTTGATTTCACCTCTACAAAGATTTATTAAATATACATAAATAATATTACGTTTTATTAAAGATATTAACAGTTACTTCCGAAATTTTTACGGGTATTTTTTATACAGAAACTATGCATTTTGTGGATTATCTACGGAAATAACAATGAATTTGAACCTCAGAACTATTATTAGAATACCAATACTTTACGAATATTGCAGTTGACTTTATTAGGGTGAGGACTACGAGGAGCAGCATGAACAGTTCCTTCGAAAAATTGTTTTTACATATGTACACTGAAGTAGGAAAAGCAGGTGAAGGTATGGGAGACGACAACGTTAATTTTCCATCCTCCCATAAGTTAAAGGAACAACAGATCGGATCGACATTGAATAAGCACAATATGTCGATCTTATCTATTATTCCTTTAACTTATGGGAGGATGGAAGAAAATTCTTCTTTAAATTCAAATCGTCTTTAAATCCCTCAAAAAGATAAGACAAATCATAAAAAAAGACCCTAAACACTAAAGACTCTGATTTAGCTCTGCAGAAGTACATAAAATGCTCTTGTGGACAAGCATACATTGGAGAGATTAGGAGAATGGTCAATCTACAGATAAAAGACATTAACGTGACATTAGATTAAAACTTATCACAGTCATTATCAGAGGACTTTAAGATAGGATATCAAATATTGTATATTTAGTTAAATAATTACAACAACACAACCATATCTTTATACTTTCCAAGAAAATATAGACAATTTATAGAGATACAAAAACATCCTAATAATCTAAACAGAGATAATAGCTACAGCATAAGAATACCGAAGACCAGTCACTAAAAACTGATCAATGCTTTCCCCTTTCCATACCTCTGACTTTTAAACAGTGTACACAAATGCAATTCTTTGGAGTAGCAGCTCAGTATTAAACTGCTCTTTGCTCTTATAAAGTAAACTGTAATGTTCATGAAACACTGACATATTAATAATGGTTCTGGACATAGAGATGATCCGAAATGCATAGTTTCCAAATATCAATTAACGGTTAATTATTTTTATTAAATTACGAAGAACATACGTGTCAGATAATGGTTCTGTGCAGTTCTATATCGAAGACCTAACTCCTGTAATGCAGTCGAAAGTGCCATTACTGCACTATTAGCTAGCCGACGTTCTGCGGGCTTAGTTTCGTGTCTGCCAGCTGACTTAATTGTTTGTACTTGTCTGTAGCCATTGGAGAATGCACGTCCAATCTCTCGTGTTAGTTGTTCCATTTGTCTTTCTTCCTACAAAGTAATATAAAATATATTTCAAATCCTGATAGTTACAATTATTATGAACTATAAGTAATTTACTTAATCAATGAATTCTTCTTTTGCGAGAGGACAAGATAGAATAGTTTATCTGATTCTTAATAGCTTAAAAAAAAAACTGAATTACAACTATAAGGAATTTGCAAACCTGAGATGTATCATCCAGGGTAGGCCTGGTGAGCTGTTTAGAGTGTAGCTCGACCAAACTGTCTATTTTCACCCGTAATCTGCTTAGGATGTATTGTGTTTCTTCTAAGGCATCTGCCCAGGCGGGAGGTGCATCATTATTCATACCCTTCAGTTCGACATTGTTGGATACGTCAGAATCTGATTCCACCAGTGCTACAATATCAGTAAGATTCTGAAAAATCACATTATGAGTATTAGATAAAAGCAATTTCATATTGGAATAGGTTAAGTATACGCACTTGTTCAGCATAAATGTGCCTACTCTGGACAGCATTGTTTCGCATTAAAATGAAGGGCTCAGTTAAATTTCTTGTAGCCATTTTTGTGCTGTTATCTCTTCTTATCACAATATGATCTCGTAATTATTTCATCACGCCGCACTACGCACCACGTACCGGATCAGCTGTCATCTTGAAACAGCTGATTACCATCTTGCTCGGCGGAGCTCAAAGTGTGTTCAGCTTATGTTTCCTTGCATATTATCTTTTCATTCTTTATACTAGTTTACAGTTTTTATAACATTAGTATTTAAGAGTTACAAAATTATTTTTATCATTGAGTTTTAAAAATTAACAATTAATTTATGCCATACTCAGATTATAATTTTGTATAATATTTATAAATAAAAAATAATAAATATGTAAAAATTAAAGGGATCTGATCTGTAAATTTAAATACGCGTTTAGAGTGTTGTTGCTTAAACTATTGCTTATTTACTTGTATTTCGATTATTCTTATCCATTTTTCGAAAATAAGATTTAACTTTTTACATTTTTTTATGCAACTTCCTTTCTTTTATCTGGTAATTGTAATAATATTCTCTTGTGATACTTCATCGATTTTTAAAATTTATTGTTATAACGATGTAGATTGTAGATATTAATTCAATTCTGAATACGCAGACATTCGGTAAATTCATAATCTATTTTATCTACTGTGATAAATTATTTGACATTATTTTTTACAATTGCCGATAAAAATTTGAGAATTAGTGTAAAAAATTATACAATTATATATAATTTGCTATAGATCGAGTAATTTAAATTTCTTAAATGACAAATGTATCTAATACAATTGAAATATCTTTTTATTTCTATGACAGATTTAAATTCTATATCTACATTTAATATATTATATATTTATGATGTATAATTGATATATTGTAAAATTTGCAATGTTACAACATTAACAAAATTTTATTTTTTAACAATATGAAAAGCATTTACAATGTATTTAATTATATATACAACACACATAAATACAAAAATACTTCAAAATATACTTGGTCTGTAAATGAAATATATCTTTGCTATCGAATTTTTTATACCAATATGTAAAGAGATAATCAAATAATCACAATTTTTAATTATATTTTTGATAGATGTCACATGATGATTATTGATCTCCTTAACTTTAGCTTATTTTGTAATATTAAAAGAAAATGATAGATAAAAGCAGATGTATGATGCAATATTAAACTAAATAATTGTAATCGTATTCTATTTTACTGTGTTGGTAGTTTGCTTTTAGTTTCAATAATTAAGGGCCTAGTACTGTAGAGATCACCCAGTATGACCTGTTTTTTGATCATCAACAGTGTTTCCTGTCCTTTTGCGTAATACTGCCTAACCTTTTCTTCATCTTCTAATGCTTTATTCTCTTTGAATTCGTGTCGTATTTTTCGTAGAGCATACATTCTGAAAATACCAAAGGATTATTTTTTTTACATACACCCTTTGTCACTCTCTACTATAAAAAGCACAATTAAATGGTTCACATAATTATTTGCAAAATAAAAAACATTATACACACTATTTTTATATAATATAAATATATACGAAACAAAATCTTATTAATGTATTGCTATGAGAATTCTTGGGGACAAAATTTTAAATAATATTTCTTTAAGCAAAATAAAAAACGAAATAAATATTCATTTAGGTGTTTATAAAGATCGTCTTGTAATGATATTATATTACCTGTAATTGTACGAGTTCCATTTTTTGCTTTCCCGGATTAAATTCCGATAAAGGCTCAGAATCGCATCTCGAGTAGGACCCATTATATTTCTATAAATTAAAAATCTACTACAGTTTGTATGCAACTAATCCGACTCTACTGTGGCGGTCCGGATCCGGGCACATGGTTATGTTATAGTGGTTATGTAGAATTATGAAGTACTCTGCTGATTTGATATTTTGATGGCGTCTTGAAGTTGCTTGCATGGTTGCTTGTAGTTATTCCATGTATATAAATGAACTTATACTAGTCGCAAATTATGATAATACTATTGGTATTTATTATAAATTGTGCATTTGATGTTTGTCGAATTTATCGATCTGATAAAAAAAATTGATGTTTTGTTACATAACCTCCGAATGTTTATTTACATTAAATAACTAATAACTTTCATGTGAATTAAAGAATTAAAGCATTCTCTGCTTTTAGGCGAATAATAAACAAATTTTGTACATAGTTTAATCTGTACTTATATTATAATATAGTTTAAAATAATTTAATATGTATAATGTATATAAATGCATACACATAAAAATAATAAACCTTTTATAGTTTATATGAGATAGAAATGTTAATCATTTACAATTTTGAAATCAATGTGAATTAGGATTTGCAATACATTTAAAAATAGTCTTATTTATGCATTGTATGAATAAGTATAAAAATATGTAAAAGTAATGAAAATCTTTTTTTTTTTACAGTTTATGCAAGATATTGCTTCAAGATACTGAGACAATTTTGAAGTTAATGTGAATCAGTATTCACCATTTCTTTAAAAATTTTTGTAAATAAGAAAAATTTAATTAACGTTTAATATAATGTGGTATGTAATAATGTATCAAAGTATATGTTTTAAGTTTAATAAGATGTCTATCTCTGTTAAAAATATACTTTTTACAGGTGTATCACATGCCGTTTCTGTAAAGAAACACTGATAAACAATGTTAAAACAACATATAGAAGAGTCTCATTGGCTGCTGATGTTAGTAAGAACAACAAGCTGATGCTCTTGGGCCAAAAGTATGTAACAGACGATTGGACGAATGTTACGCCAAGCATTATTGCTAAATTGGAAAGAAATCTGCATGTTCAGCAATACCATCCTCTCTCACATTTACGTCAACGCATTGTGAATTATTTTTATGGACAGTTTCGCAGTAAAAGCGGGACCCCATCTTTTAGTATCTACGACAATATATGTCCTGTAGTCACAGTCGAGCAGAACTTCGATTCCCTTCTTGTACCAAAGGATCATCCAAGTAGAAAGAAAACTGATTGTTACTTTATTAATCAAGATACATTGCTGAGAGCACACACCACCGCACATCAAGCTGAGTTGATTTCGATGGGATTGAATAATTTTCTCGTTATCGGCGATGTATACCGACGTGACGAGATTGACAGAACACACTACCCGATTTTTCACCAGGTTGACGCAGTCAGATTGCGCACGTCGCAAGAGATATTTTGTAACGTAAACGATTCTGAAAATCTTAAATTGTTTGAACACAGAGGGACAGAAAGTGCTGACAAGCAAGCTTGTCATAGCTTAGAAGCTGTGAAAGTGATGGAGCAGGAACTGAAAAGTACTCTTACTAGTCTAGCACAAGCTATCTTTGGGAAAGGTATTGCTTCTCTTTAATATTTTTTTATTTTTTAGGTATGTAGGTTTGTTTTTAAGCGAAACTAACTTGTTGCAATTTTTCTCCATTAATAGTAACTGGAATATATATATAGAAAGAAATTGTGATGACTTTGGGAATAATTAAAAAAATCGTGTTTTCTGAAAAAATCTTCAATGCGTATTTATATCTAACAAGATTTAGAAGCAATAAATTCTATTCAATAATATTTTATTTATTAATAAATTTAGCTCGATATAGACCGTTTATTTATTTTTATTTTATTTGTGTTCTCCAAACAGTTTTATATTATAGATTAAGAATGTATAACTGAACTTGAAAAACTTTCTTAAAGAAAATAAAACTAATAATACATAATTTTAGTAAGTTCCAAGGATTTTAGCGTCATAAAAATATTTGTGTCTATCATATATTATATTATGGGTTAAAATGATTTGAAATTTGAATACACATTTCTTGTCCATAGATGTGCAATGCCGATGGGTTGACCAATATTTCCCGTTCACCCATCCATCGTGGGAGCTAGAAATATTACACAACGACGATTGGCTCGAAATACTAGGCTGCGGCATTATGCGTCAGGAAATTCTACAAAAATCTGGTGCTACAGATCGAATCGGATGGGCGTTCGGTCTCGGCTTAGAGCGTTTGGCTATGCGCCTTTATAATATTCCAGACATAAGATTATTCTGGAGCAACGACACTGGCTTCTTAAATCAATTCAAAGTAGACGAGCCTAATGTACATATACAATACAAGGTGAGATAAATGTTAAGAATTATTTCGAATTTTTTATATCTATACATTTTGTTAATTTAGTTATAATTTATAAAAATTTAACATAAATACAATTTTTAGCCCATCAGTATATATCCACCCTGTATCAACGACATAAGTTTCTGGTTGCCAGAAGACGGAAGTTATTCTTCTCACGATTTCTACGATATAGCTAGAGAAATAGGTGGTGATGTCATTGAACAGATTTTATTGAAGGACGAATTCATACATCCAAAGACTAAAAAAACATCTCATTGTTACAGTATAGTGTACAGACACATGGAGCGTACGTTGACTCAGAATGCAGTCAATAAAATTCATAATGAAGTAGGAAAAGCGATAGCTGCTAAACTTAATGTAGTTATTCGATAAAATTGAAATTAAATGTTTTCTTTAAAAAAAAAAGTAGGACTTTTATGTATAAGCCCTGTAATAAGAAATAGGCATGTAAAACTCGTATGAACAATACAAATGTTACAGGAAAAGGAATATATTATTTTATTTGTGAATAAATTAATTATAAACGTATTACATAGCAAATAATAGTCCTCTAGGAATAATATATTACTTGTACGTTTTACAATCGATAACAACGATTACAGTTATGTTCTACATGCTTGTAATATATACATGAATATAAAACATTACGTAATCTAATATTATTATTTATTTACGTGCTGAATATAAATGATAACAAAAGATGTCTCATATAGAAATATTCTGAAGGGATAAGATTAAAAAAAATGTTTTACGTAGTTTCAGAGAATAAAGCTTATATAATGTAATAACATAAGTGCAAAAAATGCCAGTTAGGTTTACTTCGCGAAAATCACAGTTTTATTTCTGATATTCAAATTCTATATTTTAATCGTATAATTCTAGCCATTTCTTTAAGTCAAATGCATCTAGTTATTGTTATGAATTAAGATTACTTGTAGTGATTTATGCGAAATGCTCCAGATTTAGATACATGAGAAATACTGTTATGCTCAATTAAAGAACATATCTAATTAATATTTCGAAAATAAATGATATTTAGAGCAGATATATAAATGTCGCGATGTGTGTGCATATGAACACACTGAAATGGAAGATGCGACCTTTGGCAATGCATTCAGAAATAAATTAATATACAAACAAAAGAAATATATATATATATATATAAAGAGAATCAAGTATAAAAAAAAGTCATGTATTTAATCTAAAGCTAAGATGCGTAGTAAGTAAGCTTGCAGGAAGAATTAACATTATGGGGAGAGTCGTGAGTTATTTCGCTTATAACAAGTTTATAATCCAATCCATATTTCTTTAAAATCAGTATGCAGATATAATACAAGAAATTTGGAAACTTTGATGGTTTTTATTTTTTGCGATGTATTTCCTGTTACATTAGTCCATTTTAGAACTAATGTCGTAAAAATTGATTGTTACAAAAATAGTTGTTATAAAATGGTACGAGTCCCTTTATTTCATTAAAAATTATATTAATTGGATTGGATTAGGGATATATTGTAAAATGAAAGAAAATTTTTATATAGTTCTTCCTTATATTAATGAATTACGATGTTTGATGTTTTATCCTCCTTTGTCATCTATATGCAGACAAATTAATTTCCGCATAAGATTTTAGGATAATTTAGTGTAACTGGGAGGTGAAAACTTCTTCCTCAAAAATTTCAAGATGTACAGCGGCATACATGAGACCAGTGTTATCACTAATACCTTCCATAAGAAGTCCGTTGTTTTAATAAATTCCGCATCTATATTAAAATAATAAGAGAATTAATGTATAAAATATTAACAACATGCATTTTTGCTTAATTATTTTGTTGTTAGATGTTACAAACTTACCGAAGTAATCCTTCAGAACGACCAATGATAATAAATAGAGCGCTAGAGAGAAGATTTCTGCAAGCATCATTATATGATGCCAAGTTCTAATTGTTAAAGCAACCATTATTAATTCAGTTAAAACTAGCGCTGAAAAACTTATGGCTACTATATGAATAAATTCATCCTCGAACATTATAAGTGCGCCATACATGATTACCCCTCCTGGAATATTATAACGTAAAAGATATATTTTCTTTCTTTTTTTGTGTATATTGCATATATATTATCTAAATTTAATAAAAACTATACGTACCTTGGTATATACTTATCAAAACCCACATGAAAAAAGTTTTATATGATAATGAACGACCTTTACTAAGTTCTTTATAAAGTTCCGGATAAGTAAGCGCTATTTTTCCTGATACATCTTTGTCTAATACCAATGAAAAGACGGGAAACATTGTGTATATTGTAGCATATCTAAAAATTTTTATATACTAATAATTTTTATGATAAAGTTTAATATATTAAGATGTAAGTTTTGTTATAAGAACCACTTAAATTAAAATATTTTAACCGACTTCGATTAACTTTGATTAACTTAATCGACGATTAACTCGATCAAAAGTGCTGTCAACAACAAAATTTAACTGTGTATAGTTCTTAACTATCTCTACGTTACGACACCATATGGCATACTTATTATTATTTGACAAATATGATCTTAAAAGAGATCGATGATTAATCATCGATTAAAGTTAAAGTTGATCGAAGTAGCTTAGATTTATAACAAGTTTTAACGAGTATATTTATGATACTTACCCTACCATAAGAAAACCTTGATATAAGGCAACCGAAGACAAATAAAAGACTGCAGAGAACACAGCCTGCATAGTTGAGATTATCAAACCACGGTGTATAACAAATTGACTTAATGCAGCCGATCGTTTGTAACTTCTTCTGCCATGAACCAATAGTAAATTAGCGAGATGGCTAAACTGAGAAATTGAAAAATCAGCAGCTAGCGATGCTTGTCTTCCCTCAAGACCCTCGAGACCAATTCCTATAAAAAAATACAAACCATAATAAAAAAAGAAAGAATATTTGGATAGATATAATTAAATAATCTAAAAAATTAAATACCAGCATCTGCAGCTTGTATCATGGAAACGTCGTTACCACCATCGCCAACGGCCGCTGTTCTCTTGCCTGTATGTCTTTGTATAAGACTAACAACTTCGGCTTTTTGTGTGGGTGAGCATCGGCAGCAAACGACGGCAGGTGAGCCGCAAGCAAGTTCCAGAAATTCTTGCTCGTAATACTGTAAGCATACCTCTAGGGAATCGCCGCTGATAACTAAGGCACAATCTTGCTTCTTGCGAAACGTATTCAGTTCCAAGTGAGCGTCAGTGCGCGTCACGACAGACTTAAAGACGTGCAGGCCTTGAGTGCGTGACACAAGACGCGAGGATTTCGCTATACAAGTGGCGGTCTCTAATTTGTCACCGGTCAACATCCATATCTTGATTCCGGCATTCCTCAAGAGTTCCAGTGTAGGCCTCACCCTGTCTTGTAACCTATCTTCAACACCGGTGACGCATAACAGTTCCATTTCTCTCTCGAGACTTTCCACCACCGCAGTAACTCTCGATACACGGTCGCTGACGCTCATTCTCGCCGCATTGTATCTATAAAAACATAAAATATAATTCAGTCATATATTTTATATCAACTAAAAGAGTAATACTTTCAATGATACATTACCTTGCTTCAAAATCGAGATACTGGTCTTCTGTCAAATTTTTCTTTGCCACAACCAATGTTCTGAGACCTTCACGTGCCATGTTTTCGCATACCTCATCCAGCCAATCATTATATTGCACAATGCCAGACATTACAACATCAGCACCTTTCAAATAGAATATGATCTCAGAGTTGGACTCCTCCCTCACGATTATCCCCATTCGCTTGGTTTCCGAAGTAAAAGGGAATATTTGCAGTATGGTATAATTCAATATTTGACCGTTCAAAGTCTTCAACTGCATCGAATTTAGGTCTCGCTTAACTAAAGCCAGTCCCATTTCCTCCGTCCATTTCACCAGAGCCACTTCATCTGGGCTTGAGGCTTGGTAATTACGCTTCTGTTCTGTTAGATAGTAATGTTGATCCGCCTCAGTTTGACTAAAATATTAAAATTTCAATATAATATTAAGGACTTCCCAGCTTTTCGATTAATAAGAAATTACCTTTGGATGGAACCAGTATCTCCAGTTTCCACGGTCTGCACGCTTACCGAATCCAGATTCGAGGATTTGTTTATCTCATCGTATACTGGAGTTACATTGTGACAAAGAGCTAAAGCATGCACGGCATCGTAGATCCGGGTATTCTCGGATCTTCGGACTTTCCCACTGTGCGCAGATGTCGCCTGCTTTATCGGTGAGTGCTCTATGTCGGTAGGGTAATAAGTCTTTAATACTGATGTTACTTCATCGAACGTTTCCTGGCCATATGATATGGTGCCTAGATGTAACTTCTTGAACACCATTTTATTCTGTGTCAACGTGCCGGTTTTGTCGCTCAGCAAATACGATATACGTCCGAGTTCTTCCGGAATAGTAGTTGTCCGTACAACCGTACCAGCAATATCTTTATCCCTTTGTATGCACCATGCGTAAAATGCTTTGCCCATGTCCAAATTTACTCTTAAGCTAATCGGTATGATGTAGGAAAACAGCAGGACAAAACGGAACATGTAACGATACCACGGTCCACTAAATCCTTTCAAACACATCATTACAAGTGCGAGTCCTATTACCGCACAAAATAGTACCTGCCAAAATACAGTAAAATATAAAATATCTATATACACACATGTCAATTTTGATGTTTAATTTCTACATAATAATACCTTCGTTAATTGATTGATTTCTTGATCGAGCAAACCAACTTTCGATCGAATTTCTGAATGATTCATTAGAGATCGCGTTTCCTGACCGGTATAAACGACAATACCAAGGGCGGAACCAGATGCCACTGCTGTGTTGGCCCATAATGTATTGTCCACACCCAAGCTTTCTTCACTGCTGTAACCATCATACTGGAAAGAAAATATAATTATATAAAAAAATTAAGACCTTAAAGCAAAAATAGAAAAACTGAACTTTACCCTTGAAAATGTGCCAATAAAGCTATGTATATCCTTCTGAGGTTTCTCGACATACAAACTGGCTTTAATATCAAACAACTGAGAATTGCTTTCCAATTTTTGCGTTGCAGGCACTGCTAATCGTAATTTCCAATCAGTTTCTCCATCCAATTGATCAGTTCGCACAAAACACGCGCCGGATTTCTCAGTTGTGCGTAATAATACTAAGTCGGCTGGTACTCTTTGACCTTTTTCTACTATAACCTATAATAATTGTCAGAGAAAAGAGCAAGAATTTAATTTAAATATCAAAATTTTGTTATATAAGAAAATAGAAAGTTATAAAAAATAATTACTACCAAGATACTGCAATATAACTTACCAAGTCACCCACACGTAATTTGGAACTTGGTACTAATTCTGGTGTATCAAAACCTTTCACTAGTCTATAATATTTTTGTGCATTGACCTCCTTGTCCCTCTTGTATCTCCTAAAATCATCAACGGCTTCGCGGAAAATTGTCACAGTTAAAACAAAACACAATGGCCCCCAATACGTGTATAAGTATCCTATTCTTATGTCTGGTATAAATTGAGATATAGCCATAAGCAGAAAGTATAAATTCAAGAAGAATTTGAATTGTTGAAAGAGGACCTGTGAAACAAAGACAGATGTTATCAATCGCACAATTTCAAGCGATTCGAAAAAGTACTAAGATTAATTTGATTGTAAAGAGAATGTACCAAAGGCAGGAAAGTAACAACATTGTATTTTTGATTTCTTATAACATTAGTGGGAAACTTCTCGTGCATAGGCTGTCCAATATGAATAACTCTGGCTCTTAATTCCCGTTCTCTGCAGCATCTCCTCCACATCCAAGTACAGCATCTGTAATTGCAACAGTTCTTATTTAACAATAGTACGTACAAAACTAGGCCTGTTCTTTGTTTTTGCATAATATTAAAATTTTTTTCTCGCTTTCGCTCGTTAAATTTCAAATATATATTTCATTTTAAACACAGTGTTCAGCTATAAAGAACAGACTTATATTGATAAAATGGCATTCTTATCGCAATGTTTGCCAAATTATCACTTCAAAAATATACAGCATTAAATCTTACATCAAATTCGATCATTTGCGTTATACTAAATCAGTGCATACTAAAAAAGCTGCTATACATAAGATTAGCAAAATTAAATGTAAAAGTTGATTAAGTTAAATGCAAAAGAAATTAAATATAAATGTAAAAGCATCTAAATATTTTAAACAATTAAATATTCAATAATAATATTGTGTGTCATATTATTTGATAAAATATACATGTATCATTTCATTGCCAAAGTTGATTATATTATGCTATTGCATTTATATACTTTATATAAAGCAGTTTTTAATGTATATTAGAGATCTTACAACAAAATTTAACCATGAGATGACAAACTTTCGATTAGCATGTGGTTTTTGTCAACTTCAAGTTAAAATGAATAAGATAGTACAAATTAGAATGAGATAGCTTATAAAAGAAGAGACTATATATTTCTTTTTCACTCTTGTTTTGACAAAATTGCTCGTGGCCAGACTCTGTTAGTCTCTAATGTATATCTAGTATAGTTCAAGTGGTCTATTTCATCATTAATTTCGACATTCGCAAGACTATGTTATTAATGGTCGTACACTCAATTAATTTCAATCGTTGACAAGTTAAGATATACACAAATACGCAGTCATGTCGTCCAAAGTTTTCGAGTCGACCTACATTCCTGCATAGACTGCCAAAATGATCGCAGTCAAACGTCAGCGGTCAGACAGCTGATCGAAGACTCGCTGACGCGAATGAGGAATTCTCGCGGGGGAGGAATTTTCGCATTGTCAAAGCACGTCTAGAGATCGAAGTTTAAGTTGGACGCGACGAGAAATATACGTCACCTCGACCAGGTACTATCATTCCGTGATTTGGATATCAGTGGGATATCCTCTTTGGACATCCTTGTAACGTTGCTCTGCGTCTCCATTTCAAGCTACTTCCTCCACATTTAGCACTCACTCGCGAAAACTGTCCCACTCGAGTATCTCGTACGCCTAATTCTTTTTCAGGAACACACTATCTGACAAATGTATCATCAATCATCAGTGGATCTATTGGTATTATTGTGACTATTATGACATCACGTCGCGGCCATGAAATGATTCTTGCAAGATACGCTTGTTGTGGGAAACTGGAGTTCGATTAGCACGGATTTTAAGCGAGTCCATTTCCCGATTGGTCGCGTTCGGTCGATACAACAGTCCCAAGCCAATAATTTGTCTAAAAGCCTCTCAAAACGTCACACACGTCATACCCTCAGCACGTGATCAAAACAGTTTGAAATTACAGTGCCGAGAATCAATTGATTTGTTTTCACTTGAAATTCCTAAAAATTTTTTTGCACTTAATGAGATCAATATAACATATAATACTCGTTGAAAAGAGAAAAAGTAAAAATGCTGTATGCATAGATCTCTAAATTTCTTTCTCAAATATTTTCACTTTATTTGGAAACGACAGATAATCGAAGAAATACTAAACAAGTAAATTTATAAATAATAAACATTACAGACTTATTAAGTACGACGGTTAGACCATTGTTATTTCATCGTGAATCGAACATGAATACTGTCCTATGTTTGCAGAGTATCTCGCTTGAATAATGCAACGTTAAGTGTACTTCGAACAGGGTCGAACATTATTTCGAGCGCGTATAACGCATAGCTTTCGATCGATCGCATTAACATTTCTCGCGCGAGATAGAAAATATTTAGATCTAAAACGAGATTTAAAAAATAATAATAATACGAAGATCCTACGTATATCATCTTACGACGATCTCTATTTATATCTATATTCTCGAATCATGCAGCTGTTAGTTAAAGACGATTCGAGAGACGATTAATTTCTTCGTATCCTTTTCCCCTTTTGTCAGTCGAGCAACAGAGACGCAATATTGTGTCGGAGAATGTTAGAAATAAATGATGAGGTTTGTAATCGATAAACGATGAAAAAAACAAATATCTAAGAGAAGCGTACCGCTTATTGTGTATCTCGCGTATAGTTTACGTGTTGCATTATACATCATTGTATTGGTTTATAGTGTTTATATACGCTTACTTAGATCCATCGAGGAACTAAGAGCAAAACCAATCATATTAAAGAGTTTTACAACAGTTGCAATAAAGCTGATTTCTCTATTGAACGCAGCCATTGTGAGTATAATTCACTTAATGCTGCAAATTCTTCGTTGATCAATCAGAAAAAAGAATCTTATAAATGATCAATCAAAGAATGCTTCGTGAAGTGATCTCGCATTCTTTATTATACATATATCACAAATGGAACCCTTATATGGTGTCTACAATACAGTAGTATGTCTTAAGTAATAAGTTGAAAAAACAGTTGATTATTCTTCTCACAATCAAATGCAGTGATTGGTCAATTTCCTAGCTTAAAAACTTTATTGTAGATATCGCTTTACGTTCGTTTTTTATTTCTTTACATTCATTTCTTTCTGCGTTTCAAATTATTTTAAATTATTTTAGTTATACAATTAATATTGTAATTATATTATAATTATATCGTATTTTATTAATCTCGTTATGCGATTGTAATAATAAATAATACATACGTTTCGACTCCGATCGGATCATTCTCAATGTTATTAAATAATTATATGTATAATACAAGCTGATTATTAAAATGTTAGAACTTCTTGCAACATTATCAATTCCACATAATTATTTTTATGATTCAATAAAATTATTTTCAGAGATCTCTAAATTTATCTAGTTAAATTTTTAAATACATCAGCAAAATTATATTCTTTCCATGTACGTTTATTTTTCTTGCTTTGATTCTTTTCTTTCTTTATTTTTACGCGCTGTCTATTTATTCGGACTCAACAAAAAAGCAGTAAAAAAAGATATATTTATCGTGAAGATAAAAGTACAGGTCCAACGAACTGCGCTCACGTTCTTCTTAAACTGAACAGTGCTGATTAGTATATAAGATCAATCGTTGCAACGATATTTTACTGTGGCATTCTGCGGAATATTGATTTGCTACGTTACTATTGCTCGAAATATAAATATATCTTGTTGTTTTGTTGACTTTCTGTAGGATCTCGATATATCGCAAGTAAAGCCTTATTTATTGTTGTCATACTTAATCCTGTATATTTTTACGGTTTTTCTGCTGTCGTCGTCTATGGCATATTTGACTTTCGCTCTATGTATCGTATCAAAAATGTACACGATGAGAAGAAGTAGATCATTTCTTCCTAGTAAATGTTATTTCAAAACACTTCTCCTGCATAATGCTATGCTATATATACACACAGTTTTATTTATATGGCGTCATTTTAACGTACTGCCAATAATCTATGAAAACTTGTTAGTTATTTTTCTGTGGAAGCAAACAATACAGTGTCGAATGAAAAAAGATGCAGTTCTTACGAATGGATTTTAATATTTGTTCCTGCAATTGTTTGTAAATAAATTTTGATATTCGTTCCATTGGGAAAACAGTTATTCTTGAATACAAATCTAGCTATAAAACAAAAAATATGCATTTCTTATGAATTTTGATACTAGTTCCGTAATGATTAAGTATCGTACGTAAAAGTCATATTTAATTACATTTTAGTCATACATAATTACGTTACAGTCATACTTAATTATACGAGTGATTGCGTGCTTGTGATTGGCGATTAGTGATTACTTTTCAGTCATCAATTTCTTTGCTCTAATTAGTTAAAAAGTAATTGTTAATTACTAATGTAATTGAGACTTAATGTTATATTATCAATAAATCGCAATTTGATGATTACATTAATTTCACATCAAAAACCTTCGAACGCTAGACAAATAAACACGATCGGCATTCGTATGTTGCATTAATAGTATATTGAATATATGCATGGATTAAAATTACTTCTGAAAGTAGTATTTCATAATCCATTCGCATTGATAAAGTTCAATGCACAAAAAATTTTTCTTCAAGAATTATAACGAAGAGATTATTATTAATATTAATTTTTAAAATAAATCACAATACAATATAAAATCAATTGTAATATAAATTATAATATATAATATATATAAGAATTTATAAATAATAATATAATATTAAAGATAAATAAAAAATGCACTTGATTGAGCGATATTCAATGTAAATAGTAGTGTAAAAAAGAAAACAAAATTTCATAAAAAGCAATCTGAAGCTGTGAGTCGAAGGATGCAAATTTATAGTCAATTTTCAAGATCGTTCTCGCAAACTTGGCAATTTGAAAAGAAAAACGATAAGATAAAAACAACGAGAATCTATATGTATGAGTATGTATATCACAATCGCGAGTTCGACAGTGAGGATCGGCAAGATCGTAACTCATGCGGCGAGTCGTTTTCCGAAACACCCTGTAGACTCACCCGCAAAGGCAGCTCTTCAGGTACTTGGAGCAATTGGCGATGCGCCGTCGCCTCGACGTCAGCTGCCTGATGCTGTCCTCGGACGGTTGCAGCAAATAGTCAGTCTCATCGTCGTCCATTTCAAAGTCCCGCTCGTCGGAGCTCAGCCGCAACGGCATCTCCTCCAGCCTCATGGCGGAGGCGTCGAGACGACGCGCTCTTTCGTTCCCCGTGTTTGTACTTTCTTTTATCCTTTATACTTCTTTCTATTTTTCGCGCGTCACGCGACCGTCCGGCTCTCCCGTCAACTCTCTCTCTCTCTCTCTCTCACCCTCGCGGCGACGACGGCGGGAGACGCGTGACGTGATTGACTGATGACGCGCAGCGGGTTAATCGCCGTCGTCTCGTGCGACCGATCGCTGCGGCACGACGTCCGCGGTGCATATCTTATCGCGGACGATCCGATCAGCTGATCTCGCAATCTCGGGAGAGTCGTCCAGCGTCTGAGTGCTCCGGACTGACACGACGAATCCACGGTCCGCAGCGGCGGCGGCAGCGACGACAACGACGACGACGACGATGGCGCGACGGGACGTCTTGTTTACGTACACACACGCGCGCACGCACGGGCTGCGTGTGCATCATGGCGGTCGGGTCTCGCGAAATGTATAGATGGGTCATGCGGCAAATTCGTGGGCGCCAGTCTTGCTTGAAACGGTCGACGTGGTCTTGCGTACGTAACCGATAAGAATAGACCAGGGTGTGCTCTATCATTATCGCGTCTACGCGACGGCTGTGTTGTCCTTCAAGTATGCGGCACCACCCGCCGCCATCTTGCTCGTCTAGTCACGTGCTCGCGTCGTCTGCTCGCAACGCTCGGTTTCCTCCGAACGTCCCCGAATTAACTTCGACCTTTCTCTGCTCTGATTTGAACAAATTGCGCGACTTATCAAATTGCATGATTATAGAACGTTTTAATTTTTATTGTTCTTTTAGCAACATATTTATCGACTAATTGATTCCAATTGTAATAATAATTATTTAACAATAGTCCTTAATTATTTAATCTGTTTCATCTCTCCCGTGGATGATATATATTATAAAATGAATATACAGCTTTTTTTTATTATCCTTCGATTAGTCTTTTAATCATTAATTTTAGATAAATTATATTTGTAATAATAATAATAATAATAATTTAGTAATAGTTTTTAATTATTTATTTTGTTTCTCATATGTCCTGTTTATCTATGTAAATATTATTTTGTGAAACGTACAATTCATTATTTTAATCACGTATTCCTTGATTGACATTTGATTAATTTTAAATAGATTATTGTAATAGTAACAATAATAATAATAATAATATATTTTGTTTTATCACTCCCGTCTATTTATAATGTTATTTGTCAGATGAGTAACACTGCACTTTGTTAATCAAGATTAACCTGATATTTTGCGGCTAACGATTTGATCGTACTTTTGAAAGATTCATCTGACTTTCCTTTCAGTTGCAATTGTCGGAAAAGCCGTTCGCACATAGATTTCTCATCTCTCGTCATGAAGCATACCGTCAAATCGAACCGATTACACGTGCTCAGTTTACCGAGAACTTCTATAACTGGCGTTATATCATCCACTTTTGACAAATGCTGCAGACATGCGTTTGCAAAGTCACCGAGAAAAGATGTCGGAATTTCCACCCAAAAGACGTGATGTTGCAGATCGTTTCTGTAACAAGAATAACGCCACTAATATATGATGACACTCTTTTATTACGTGTCTTACGATTCTCACCTTAGATTCCAAACATAGGTAAACTTTTCGGAATGGTCGGTAATTGTTTTCCACGATTGTAGAAAGTCCTTGCACGTTTTCCGAGATTTTTTCAAGATACTTTCGTTGCTATCTTTATTTCGTGTCGATTTTTTTAAGGCTTCTAACACAGTTGAGTCATGAGATTTGGCAGAATTAATTAATGGATTCCACTGTACACCAATTTTAGGTTTCATGTCGTTGCGATCCAAAGGTTTTAAATGAGCACCATGTACCTGCCGTTATAATTAATTTAAAATTTACTAAAAAATTTAAAAAATTATAATTTATTAATTTAAATAATAATAATTTTATTAATTTAATTTAATTTTCATTTAAATATTTATTTAACTTATTTCAAATAATAATTAATTAATTATATATGTATAAATTTAATTACAATGTTGAAAAATTCTCGAATTAAATTTTGAACATAAATTAAAGTACGACCTTGTACATTCAAAATTTCTTATGTAATGACAAATAACCAAAATTACAGTCACCATCTGTCTGAAGTGCTCATATGTCGGCACTGCTTGTTCAATCGCGCGAATTTTAGCGTCGTTTTGTAATTTATATAACTCATCAGCTGCGAGAGCTGCGTGAAGTTCCTTTTCTAAGCTCTTATAGTCTATCGACGCTTTTAATGCACTCATAGTGCGTCCTTTTTCCTTTCAGCACGTTTTCTGCTCGAATTCTAAGACAGTCTGACATGATAACACGACGGTTTGTCGTCATGGCAACTCTAGTATCAGCTTGATCTATTGATTAAAATATTACTTGCTCCACTCCATAATTATTTTATTTTTTCATAATCCGTACAAAAAATTATGTGGTTTTGTAATTAAAAATTATAAATAAATAAATTACGATTAAAAAATATATATAATTATATAAAGTGCAGAAATAAGCAAAAATGCTTATTACTTCAATTCTTGGTAATAATGGCTTCCGTTTCAGATATAATCTTTTCCTTTGACACTCTGTCTTGTCTTTTCTTCAGCAATCTATCGTGAGTTCTCTTCATCTCGAGTATCTCCTTCATCTCTTCCTTGTCCTCCTCCTAAAATCGATACCATCGACATAGAAAAACTGTTTGTTCTCACCCGTAGATTTATGAATACTCACAGTTTGATTTAATCGAAGAACCAATGCCTTACGACCGTCGGACATGGGCTGAGAATAGTCTGTCAACTTTCTCAGTCTTTCAGCAGGACTCACGCCTCTCTCCACAACCAGAACTATACGCGCCCACTGGCATACACAAAGCAATCAATGAAATCAGCTTTTGTAGAGCTTAACTTGCGCGAGTAGTTATTTTATTTTGTTTTTTATATAAACAATCATCTAAGATATTTTTATACTCCAATCAAAATTCATTAACTTTTATGACATATTATACATTATTGATTGTTTTCCAATTTATTAGTATTTGAGAATATTATAAATATAGATTTGAGAAACCAAACAGATATTACTAAATAAAGAATATTAAAAAAATATAAAATCCTTTTATTTTTTATGAAATTTCATATTTAAAAATATTAAATTAAATATCTTGACGGACAATTGAGAACTAATAAATTGATCGTAGTTAATAATGCGTGTAATAAATAAAGGTATAATTTTTATGGCGATATATCTGTTTATATTCAAAATATCAAACAGCTCAAATGGAAAATTTATCCTACATAAGACACAATATTTCTAGAATTATTATATGAATATTATGTTACAACATGAATATTAAAAATGGCAAATAATATTCATATAACATTCCAGGAATATTGTGTACTCGTTAGGTCAAATGGTATAGTACGCGGTACGAAACGTTGACGACGTACTTGCCGTTGCCATTCGTTCCTGGTTTCTGCGATCTTCTGGTAAGTGTTGCCCATCATAGCGATCAACATGTTTACAAGCAAGATTGCCACGATCGCCATGTACAATACAAACAGCAGCTGCAATTAATAGCAATTATCGTTGTAACGCTAGTGCTGCATTTGGCGCTCTTTTGCATAGCGCGAGTGAGTCATTCGTTACGTGAAAAATTTGTGCGACTTATCTAATTGTCGTTAAAACACATCATGTGAATGTTAATTAAAAGGCATGAAAGATGGTATTGTTTACTTCCATCTATGAATATTGAGCACATCGTTGAGCGACGGCAAGTAAAGTATACCTTGGCCTCGAATTCATGCTCGGTTCTGTCGAATGCGCCAAAGTAATCACCAAAATTCGTCATGCTCATCAGGAACATCGCCATAACACTTTCCATCGGTGATGGCATCGGATTCGAGATAGAGTCGTCGATACCCTCTGGAGTGTTCGGATTGTCGAACGACAGGAATATGATGTAATATGCTGTGAAGAAACTAGGTATCTATAATTCTAACAGCGTGTTTACATTGCGTGTGATGCCTATATTTGAAGATACGCAAGAAATCGTCATCGCGGAAATTTAACTCTCCGAAGCTGACGTCAAAATCCGTAACGCGGTTACAGATGTCGAGTCAGTGAGATCATTTAATTTACATTAAAAGGCATTAATTCAAGAAATCAGAATAATATAACTCGTAAGTACGAAAAAATGAATACTAAGTTTATTTTAATAATGATTCAAATTTGCGTGATTATAATGAATATATTTGTTTAACTGATTTTAACTATTTTTTTTAATTCATTTATTATTTATAATAGTCATTATAATTGTATTAACTGAATAGAAATATTTATTTTATTTACCATTTACATATACATCTTGATATTTTTTACTATATTAATATTTAAAACTATTATAATTTAGTACAATTTTTTCATATTTGAGAAAACTATCATAGGTATATGATTATAATTACTATAAAAATAGAGCTCCTAATCATAATTATTTTACCTTACAATTATAGTCACTTTTTTCTCAGTATTGGTCCAATAGATCCACTATCAGCTCCGGAGGGTTAAGATGATGTCTTCCGGCGTTAAATTAATCGATCGCCATGGATCGTATATTAATCTATAAGCGAGTTTAGAAGATTCTTTTATTGAGAAAGTCTTAAGGAAGTATTTTAAAAATCATATCTCTCTCTTCGCGAACAAACAGACGGTCCATTCAAGCAGTGTGCCGGCGCTACGTCGCGGTCGTTTGTTTGCGAAAAGTAAGACACAATGGCACATAGCGTTGCGGTCATGCTGCTGATTGCATAACGGCGTACGTCGCATCATTTAACGCATCTTAAGACCTCGGCGTAGCGCCTCCTTCTGTGGTTTCTTCCCCGTCGTTAATACAGGAGACCTTCTACGGGTCGAGTGATGTGTGTCAATGTCGCCTTGCAGCATCCAGTAAAATTGTCGATTAGGTCACACGACATTACGCGTGTCCGATGCAGATGCCGTTATACCAGCGGCTAATTAACAATTGTTGAGAATTAATAGAATAAGGCACCGGCCAGTCGTCGTCGGTGTGTCACCAGTGGAATTGATGATGTTTCTCGTCTCTTGCACGTGCCATTATGTCTCTTACAGCTACGATTATCAATTACGATAATCGGCGACAAGGTTATCCGTTTATTGTGTTCGGGACATGCCTCATTCAGAGAGATAAATGGAACAGGTGTTGCGTGAAATCAAAAGAGAAAATATAGGACTCGTATTTTTTCGAAACGCCACACGTTACCTTGAGAGAATCCCATGACGAAGACGAGGTAGATGGAAACAAATCTGATGAGGTCGCCCATGATCATCCTGTAAATCATCACGACGAATGGTCCGACCGTCTTGAAACCCCGGCAGAAGAACAGAAAGTACGGCGCCGTCGTCAGCATCACCACGACCGCTAGTATATCTTCGACCTCGTCGGAGCAGGTAAATCGCAGAACCGGGAACCACATCAGGATGCAGCATGAGATCAGGAACATCACACGTGACGGCACTGTCATCTAAAAATTGCGCTCGTGTTAACACGGGTGGCGTTCTTACGGTATTTCGTAATTTGCTGTAAATCGATTCATTCATAATAAATTTACATAAATCGACTCATTCATAATAAAAGAAAAAAAATGTCTGGTTAATTAATTGTCTGTTGGATTAATTAGAATTTTAATTGAAGATGGATAAATCAGAATTTTCTGGTTAAATTTACTAGAATTCTAGTTGTGATAATTGGAATTCTGGCTGATGTGATTTCTTTCTGATTTGTCCATTTTCTACCAAATATTTTTTTCAATATACTCAATGGGTACTTTCCATTTGGTGATACAAATCAATATGTCGTTCTATCTTTATTACTCATCACTATGGATTATTAAGAAAGATAGAATGATGCTTGTGTCGATTTGTATCACTAAATGGAAAACATCCGCGAATATTGATTTGCAATGACAGAGTTATAGTCGATTTGAAAATTCAGGAATTATTAAAATACGGTTCTTTTGTTGCCTTTATATATTAGGGGGTTGCATTAAAAGCCGCTGTTTTGTCCACTCAAAACATGTAAAAAACAGCGGCTTTTAATGCAACCCCCTAATATATCAAAAATAATTTCCTGAATGACTCTTACGAGATTTTCGATGAACATGTGAAGACCTAAGAATCTCGCTTCCCGTAACGCAGCCAAGATGTAGAGCACTGCTGCGATGAACATAAAAATTTCCGCAATTAGACGAATCTTTGCACTCATTTCTGACAGCTGCATCAGTCTGCACTCCTCCGAGAAATCGCCCCACCTATTAAATAAGTATTTATTTTACGACATTAATATGCGATATACACGCAAACAGCTAAGTCTGCTTAAACAGATTTTGTAAAACGACAAATTTTGCAGAGAAATTACTTTCTAAAATATTTCACATATTGCAATGAAATATTTTATGCTGTGTGCATGTAATTAATATCGCTATTCATCCATAGCTTTTTATAATATTTCTTGTGTAATGTAAATTTCTTTATAATATAATTATATTTTGATGTACCAATAGTCGTGATTAAATTTTGATCGCGCGACGCCGTCAATGATGGTCTTGGCAGTTGAATTCGCATCGGTTTTATTATACGTATCCATGAAATAGTCCGATGCGTTTGGAGAGCTATCGGTATACCACTGCGTATGAATGGCGGCCTCGTCAGGAGGACTCAGAATGCCCTCGTTTTCGTTCAGCGTTAAAAGCAAAATGTTTTTCAGGGCTGACGTGATGTTTGACGTTACTTGCAGCTGGATCTTCTCTAGTGATTCCTGCGTCATATTTAAAGGTGATTTGAAATTCGAGGTAAAAGCCGCCACGAGGCTATTTGTAACCAATTCTGACAAATCCGAGCTTTGGAAAGTCTTGAGAATGATAGGCTCCGTTATATTGGAGGAATTCGTCCTAGTCGACGTATCGTTTGCGTTTTCGTCTGTTTCTATGGTAGACGGACCAGGGCGAAGGGTGAGGCTAATCAGCGACAGTACGAAGTAGAAGCAGAAGAGGAAGAATTGATTGTAGAATCTAAAAATTAAAAATCCCGCAATTTGAGCATATAATTGTTTCATATGTAGTTAGTTTTTATATTTAATCAAGAAATAGGCTTTACAATGCGAATTTTTAATTTAATTCAATTTTTTGTGGAAGTGAAAATATAGAAAATATAAGTGTTTATATTTTCTATTATTATATGTACCGGGATTTGACGAAGGTATTCCACTTAGCGTTTAAAAGATCGACTAGCACGCCGTCCATTAACTCTAAATGTTCATCTTTATCCTACAATCATCGTAAA